AACCATTATACCCTGATTTCCCATTTTCAATGGGTTCAGGGTATAAAAATGTTTGAAAATTAAAAATTATTAAATTCTGCAGCTTTTATCAAATATTTCAGCTGCAAAGATTAACTTATTAGACTCACATATAGAGGAATTGCATATTTTGGAATTTAAATTGAACATATATTTAGTATTGAAATGGAAATTTGTAGAAAACAGTTTTTTATTATCAAACCAATATAAAAGAAATAATACATTAACAAGTTAATAGGCTAGAAGCTCTGTAGAAGCATTCGAACACTCTCAGACGAAGCGAACCCATTATTGATTTGAGTACCAGACAAATTATTTATTCGAAATATATACGATTTCTTGGAACCACGAATAAATACCTAAAGAAAGAAGTAACTTACCTCTGGTCGAGAATAGTCGACAACGAGATCCACTGAATCATCTGTAGGACTCATATTTCAAAAATTCTTCTTCTTTTTCTTCTTTTCTGCTTATACAAGTAACAGCTCAATCAGTGTTGGCAGCTTAGCCTATTCCAGGCTAGATCTAGCCGATTCAAAAGTGGTCTAGCCCATTGATAATAAATGCACTGAAAATGATTATGCCATAGAATAGAATAGACTAGAAATAGAGGACGACTATGAAAAAGTCCTAGAACTATAGAAGAGAAGAAGCTTTTGTCTATGCCATTTAGAATAAGAGCCACACAGATTTATGTTCATAAGGTAATTAGCATGTGAACATTTAGCCTTATACACGCCAAGTGTTCGTCTGTATACCCGTCTGTCTGTCTCTTCCCAAAAAAAAAAAAGTTTTATTTAATGTACATATGCAATAATATTTCTTTGACATTTGTATTTGAGTAAAACGAAGGTAATGAACATTGATCGCGATTTAGGCTTTGAGTGAAAGTCGTCCTAAGTATTTAAGAAGTAAGAGATAAACTTAGAAGAAATACTTAGAGCAAATAGTTGGACGAAAACTTTGAGGAAATACTTAGTTTAAGAAAAAATCGAAATTTTATAATCGATATAACTATTTAAATTTAATATTTATATTGAAAATTGGACTCGAAATATTGAGCAGCTATATTTTTACACGTGAATTTGGCAGGGCTAAATACATACATACATTGACCATTATAACGTAGATTCCCATTTTTAATTGACTCAGAATATAAAAAATAACTAATTGAACGATGCTAATTAGTTTAATGTATGACTAAATTTGTGAAGGAGTGATTAATAAACTAGAACCATAAATAGACGTATGTATGTATATATTTATACCATATGCGCAATGGATTAGAAAGCTTTCGCGGACTATTCAATACTTGTTTTTCAAAACAAAACATGAAATTCTTAATTTTAGGGCACGAGCTGCATATTGCTTAAAATGCTTATTGGTAAGAGGTAAATCCATTTTTGCAGTCCATTAAGGCAAAAGGCCGAAACGTATTTAATAAACATGCTTCCGAGCGAATGCTTTTATGACCCACTTTTTAAAGCCGGAAGTGTGCCCCGCGGTGTTAGTTAACTACCACCTGGAAGATTGTACGCCGCTCTGGGAGCGGAAACTGTTTTTTCTTTGACTTCGACTGCCATATAAAACAGGCCATTACCGACTTGTAGCTCTTAGCTGAGATATTGCTTATTAACGATGTTTTCTGTTCTGTTTTGTTTTTGAAAGCCCATAAAAATTGGAGAGTCCTTAAAGAGTCAGACTAGCTTGCCGGATAATGCTGTTTACTGACTCTACTAGATCAGAATTCATTGATTCTGGTGGACTTAGCTTACTAAATTTAGAAGGCTTATCGTTTCAATTAGTTCAGGTTCGCAATGGAAGAAGGACCAAGCTGGAAATTACTCTTATAGAAATCATAAAAGTTGAAATATTTATATACGGAACTCTGCCAATTCGCCGACATTTTACTATCGAGCCGATCCAGGTTGTTTATTCAACATTGATTAATAAAAACTTGACGACCGTTTTATAGGCTTCGCGAAGACATTCGGATAGCACTCATCGATTCGACACACAATTAACGTAGTGATTCCCAGGCCATGTATAATTCATATCAATAATGCAGACTGAGGTCGTTCACGACTATGATCTCTTATAGCTTGTTAAGCTAAATTTCTTTAAAATAGTATAATCCCACTAATCCTTTCATTTGAAAAAGTGTAGCTCCATCCAATATATAAACGCTCATCATATAAAAGTAACGATAGTAAAACACAAAGCCATCAGAATCTAAAGTAGAATTGCCATAGATATTAACATCAATAATGGAGATCGAGGTCGTTCAAAACTATGATCTTATGTGTGTAGATCGTTAAGCAAAAATTAGTTTTAAATAGCATTATGTCATTAATCCCTCCATTTGAAGCAGTTTAGCTCCTACTAATACATACTTGCTTGGAACACAAAGAATAGATATAAAGTAGGATTTTCATGGATGGTTTATTCGGTATAATCGGCCGTGTTCAAAGAAGTCTTCCAATTAACTTACGAAAATCACTATGCATATTTATAATATTATGCATAATTTATACAATCTACAAGCGCTGAGTTTGGGTATTGATGATTCTCTTTATATGCTTCTAGATTGTAGCGGTACATGTTGATATCTAATTTCGAGGCCATTGTCAGTTCTTTAATAGAAAACAAACGATCTGCTTAGCAGGCTGCTCCACTCCATTCATAACAACAGTTTCATTTTAGTTACATCTAATATACATATATTACAAATACTTCACATATGATGTTTCCTATGTATTTACTTATAGCAACAATCTGTACCAGAAAATGTTCGACCAGATAATCATCCTGAAACAATATAGAGATTAACTCAGCTCTCAAAATATCTGAGACTTAGCCAACCGATCAAAAGTTTCTACATGTTCGAAGCTTCAAGAATTCATTTTACGTATCTTGTCTGACGACTCAAGATAGGATGGTACATTCGTTATCACGAAATATCACTTTCTCTTAGATTTTGTCTTAAGCAATATAGGCAAATCCATTGATTAAATTGGAAGTATGAAAATAAATATCCAAATTCCTAAGGTCTGAGGTGATCAAACAAATAGAGTTTATATATCTTTGCTGGAGCCAACATCGAAAATTCCTCTCCCGAATTTTCACTTCATGCTTGCAGACATGCCCAAGAAAGTCAAAGCTCCGGCCAAGTGGTATGGACACTTGGGCAGACCCCTTACCATTCACATCTACAGATTAACTGTCGAGCCGTGCACGCATCACCGCTGGCTGTGCGTCTGGCTGGCAACAGCCGTTGCTGTTGCCGTTGCCGTTGCCGTTGCCATTGCCCTGAGCACCCACTCGCAATTGCAGGCGAACTAGAGATGAACCCGAGGCGGGCGCTGCGACCGTAGTTGCTGATGCCAGCTGACCTTAATAACAAATTTGCATGCGCATTGGGGCCTCGAGTCGACAGACAGACAGTCAGGCAGCCAGACGGACGGAAATGCAGTTGGAGCTGAAGTCAGAGTTGCAGCTGCAACAGGTGCAGCCGCTGCAGTCGTGGCAGTTGTTATGGAGTTTGTCTGGGCATTGAAAATTCTCGCTACACCCGCACCCACACCCACACACACGAGACACGACCTTAGCAACTCATTGATTTCAATGGCCTTATGCCTGCAATTTAAGTGCATAGCCAGCGATAAATTAATGCCAGACAATTGCATATTTTCTAAGGTCGTTCGAGGGAGGCCAAGAGGCAGAGAGACAAAGGGTAAAGCGAAACCCGTTGCCGCTGCCCCAATGCCTGGGAAGGGGCAACACCCGCAATCGATTTTGTTCTGTTATTTGTTGTAATTTTTTGGGTGACTTTGCTTTGACTTGCAGCTGCAGTGCACAGCAGCTTGATTTATGTGACAAAAGCTGCAATGGTAAAAAATTGTCAGCAAAGCGAGCCATAAAAGCCGAGCGCCGAGATACGAACCCGATACCAGACACTAATCAACACGTATTGATCATATGCAAGTGGTCAGCAGTCGCCAGACTCGAGAGTCCATGGAACAGCTCTCTATTAATTAAACAGCACCACCAGCGGCAGCAGCAGCCGTAGCAAAAACGTTGCTGCCGTTTTGGTCACTACACGTTCAGTCCACTACAAATTGCTGTTGCCACTTTAGTGCGCCAGCGACTGAATCTTAGCCAGCTCCATGCGACCAATATGCTTATCGCGGCGGCGTAATCGCCAATTGCCAGCACCGAGGGCAATGAAAATGGTCTGTGATGCCATTCCACGGACGGGAGAACGTAATAGGACCGGGTGCCGATGAGATACATTCTACAAGGCACAATTTATACGCAGCCCGTTTCCCTTAAGCTCCTCATAAATGTGACAGTTTTCCTCAGAACCGTAGAAGTGAATATGGTCCGTCGGATGTATAAACCAATACGGTAAGCAGGCGGTTCTGGGTTTATAATTGCTTTGCTTTGTTTTGGCGCTGGTCTTAAATGGAATATCTTAAGCAAATGGAGTTTGTAACAGATGTAATCTGCGCTTTGCAATTCCTTACTAATGATCTGCAGAAAGATTGATTGGGAATCAAAATACATTATACATATGTAAGTAAATAAAAAACTATGCAATTGCATGGATACGGAAAATGATTACCATAGAAACGATCATATTATATGGAT